TTTTTTTTTTGTACTGGGGATTGAACTTGGGTCCTTACAGTTGCGAAGCAGGCGGCAGAACCACTGAGCTAAATCCCTGGCCCTGGGATCAAATTTTTGATCTGCCTGCCTTATCCTCTCAGAATGCTGGGATCACAGGCATATGCCACCACACTTGGCTCCTAATCCATGTACAGTACCCGTGATTCTACTCAAAACATCAGTGTTTTCCCCAATGTCCTCCAAATTAAATTTAATTCTGAACTTTCTGGAATTGTTTTCAATTATTCAAAAATGTAAGCCAAGAACTATTCCTTCAGATTTTGATCTTATAGCATATTATATAAAGTAGTATTTCTTTCTTTTTTTTGTTTTTTGTTTTTTGAGACAGGGTCTCACTATGTAGTTGAGACTGACCTGGAACTCACTATGTTGCCCAGGCTGGTCTCACAGCGATCCTCTTGCCTCAGCCTCCCGAATACTGTGATTACAGGCGTGCACCACCATGCCCGGCTTTTAATAGTATTTCTTAATTTGGTTTTTTAAAAAATTTATATTTGCTTTTGAATCTGAGATTTTTTTAAGGTACTGCTTTATACAATCAACAAATTTGTGCATCATTAATCAACATACTTTCAAATATATTTTTGTGTCACTTCTGTTAAAACCTTTTAAAAATCCAGTTAAATGTTACAATAGTTTATATTGTTGTAAACCCAATTTTGCGTTCTGTTTATTCTTTTTGGTGCATGCTACTTCAACTAGAATGCCTTTGTCTCTTCTAACATGTAGAAATCTCTCTTCCCTTTGAAATGAGTAAATTTCATTGTACTTGTTACAAACCTCATCTTACTGCAATTACTTATGTTCACACTTTTATATCCTGCCAATAAATGGTATATTTCTTGATGATTGGCACCAAGCTTTCATCTTCATCACTATGAGCTGTACAAGACCTGATGTGACAAGTGTACAATAAATAGCTAAAGAATGGATGTTTCATTTTAATAAAATAGTAATTATACTCCAATGCCTGCCATGCCATCCTGCCTTAGACTAAGCTGACTATGAACTGAAACCTCTATAAACTGTGAGCTAAGTAAACCTTTCCTCCTTAATAAAACAGTAATTACAAAAATACTGTTCTGTAGAAGTATAAATATGCTAAATTCTATCTATAAGAAACTGATCAATTTTATTTTTAGATATCTGAGACCCACCCAAATTGAGGAAAACCCATCTGAAATCTTTAAAATCACATAATTTAAAAAACAAGGACACAACTGATCTTGACAGGTAAAAATCAAATTAAAAGCTCATCTTTTAAAAAAATCCCTTTCATTCTTTTAAAAAATTTCAGTAAACACTTAATATAGCTTATTTTTTCCTATTCTTTAAATTCAGTAATGTTTTAAAAGATGGAACCAAACTTTCCTCTGCTTATGAGCAGTCTGTCCAATATCCACACGCTGTTTTCAATATACACATTAACTTACTCAAATATTTACCGAATGCCTGTTATGTGTTAGGCACTATTAGGTTACAATATGAGCAAAATACTTAAACCAAGGAGGATGCAGTCAAGAAGAATCAGAAGAACATAAAAAAACAAAAAGTGCTTAGATTATGAGTTAGGTGTAACCAAATTTAATTATCAATGTCATTGGAAATATTAATCAGTAATTTTTGTGAACAGTAAATTACACTTCATTTCATAAAGAACTATGAAAGCTATATCTTAATTTCAAGTATAGCAGTGCATTAATAAACCTACTTCTGTTCAAATAGTTTGAGAGCCTTATTATTATTTTTGCAGTGCCAGGATCGAACTTAGGACTTTGCACTTGAGAGGCAGGTGTGGTACCACTGAGCTAAATCCCCAGCCCTCAAGCCTTATTTTTAATATATTTAAAAATTTTTTTGAGATAGGGCCTTGTTATATAGTTCAGTCTAGCTTTGAACACACTATGTAACCCAGGGTTATCCTTGAACTCATGGAAATCCTCCTGCTTCAGCCTCCTGAGTACTGGGATTGCAAGCATGTACCACCATGCCCAGCTTTATTTTTTGTTATTGTATAATATTTTTGCATGAAGGTTTCATTTCAATAATTGTCACCACTGTAATACAATTTAGTCAGGAATGCTTAAAGGATATAATAAATAGAACTTTATCACGTCCAGTAACAATCATTCAGACTTTCAAATTAGGTATCCTAATAGCACGTTTTATACTTTTTTTTCCCCCAGTACTGAGGATCAAACTGAGGACCTTGCGCTGGTGAGGCAGGCGTGATGCCACTGAACTAAATCCCCAGCCCCCTAGTAGCAAGTTTAAAAAGTTACTATAATTTTTTAGTACAAAGACTTGAAAAAGATTGACTAGTTACCTGAAAGCTCTTGAATGCTTCTTAAAAATATAAAACCGATTACTTGGATGGGTGGTATGAGAGCTGGAGAGATAAAAGGCAAACAAGATTTTTACTACACATATATTAATTTCATGGCTATATATCAACTCCATGTTTAATCTTAGTTTTGGGTAAAAGACCATGGTTCTAAATAAAATTCTGCTGATCACCTGCTATGGTCTGAAACATTGTGTCCCCTCACAAATTCATATGGTAAAATTCTAAATTCAAAGGTGATATTAGAAGGTAGAACCTTTCCAATCTTTGTGGAGTGATTATATCACAAGGGTAAAAGTCTCATGAATAAAATTAGTGCCATTATAAAAGAGACCCCACAGAGCTAGATTGCCCCTTCCACCATGTGAGGATGCAGTGAGAAGATGCTATCAGGAATTGTTCTTCACCCGACACCTGTACCTGCTGGCACCTTGATGATGGACTTCCCAGATTCTAGAACTGTGAGAAATGAATTTATAGTGTTTAATAGCCACTCAAGTCTATGATATTTTATTTTTATGGTATTTTATTACAGCAGCCCAAATAGACCAAGACAGCCATTTTGTTTAATTCTAGATTATTTTACATTCCATTTTACCTATTGTATATTTTAATGACATATCTCCCTGAGAACATGTAGATTTTCAGTAGTTTACCACTATAAAATACTCAGAGTTAAGAATGCAAAGAACAAATTAAACTTTTTCAACTATTAAGAGTAGAACAAAAGATACACACTAATGTGTTTTGCTGTTAACAGAAATACCCATGGAAAAAATCATTAGTTATTTTGTAATGTCAATAGACTTGGGAAGAACAGATAATCTGAATGATCCTGGAAGTAAATGTTACTTGAGCTATATGCCATTAACAATAAACAAAATATTTAAAGAACCTTTTGCAATTACTAAAACTTTAAAAAGAAAGTAAACTAAATTCAGCAGAGTTCATGAGTTCAAATAATGCTTCTCTCATGTAAAGAATAAAAAATAATCCAAACATTGCAACCAACAGTAACAGTTTTTTCTTTTTTTTTTTTTTTTTTTGGGGGGGCGTGTGTCCTTGCGCTTGTGAGACAGGCAGCAGAACCACTGAGCTAAATCCCCAGCCCTCATAATAGTTTTTATAGACCCTTTTAAACAATAAGGACATCTACTGTGTTAGAAAGCCAGACAGGATTAGCCAGGATCAGCACAGCACAGTATCACCAAAACTGTGGTCCATGGACCAGCAGCATTAGCATCACCTAGGAGATTACTAGAAATAATCTTAGGCTTTGCTGCAAATTTACTGAGTCAATCTACAGCAGTCGGATCCAGAAATCAGTTTCAATAATTATTTTAGCTTTTTTTTTTTTTGTACCAGGGATCCAACTCAGGACCTTGCCCTTGAGGCACCACAGAGCTAAATCCCTGTCTCCAATTTAGCTGATTCTTACTCAAGATAAAATTTGAGAAGCACCAGTTTTTTTGTTTTTTTTTTTAGTATTGTCGAGGCAGACTTTCGTTGCATAGTCTAGGCTAGCCTCAAACTTGTGGCAATTCTGCCTCAGCCTCCTGAGGGCTGGGATTATGGGCATGCACCAACACACCCAGGGAGAAGCACTAGTTTTATCTTGCAACAACAGACCCAAACAAGCCCACACACATACCAGGTCAATGGTTACTCTTATATACAAGGTAACCATCGTCAGCATACTATATGTTACAGTTTATATCTAGATGTCCCCCTAAAGCCTTATGCACTCATAGGTGGGGCTTTTAGGAGGTAGCTGGACCACGCGTGTGTGATACTGGATTAGTCCACTGATGGGTTTATAGCTGGGTGTGATATTGGGAGGTGAAACCTTGGGGGAAGAGGTGGATCACTGTGGGTGTGGCTTGGAAAAGTATCCTTCCTTCTCCTTTGATGCTACTCTGCTTTCTGCCTGCCATGCCCTGAACTGTTTTTCCTCGGCCATGCCCCGCCCCTCACTTTGGAATCAGTCGATTATGGACTAAAACCTCAACAAACTGTGAGCCAAAATAAACCTTTCTTCCTTTAAATTGTGGGTGTTGGCTATTGTATCTCAGTGATGAGAAAGCAACTAAGACAGGACACACACATGGTAAAGATTCTGGCTAGCTATAATTCCAATAAAATATCCTCAGAATAGGTAGTGTGGTAAATGCAAAGAATTTTGCTCTGAAGGAGATAATATAGACATGCATGAGGCAGAATAACTCAGTGTTACAGAACTCAAAAGAGATGACCCCAAGAATGGCCGTGGTGAGCAGATATTTCATAGAAAGTCAATGAGAATGGAGGAGGGGGCATTCCAGGGAATAATCAAGAATAAGGAAGCTGGGCCTGATGGTGCACACCAGTAATCTGAGCACTTGTGAGGCTAAGGTAGGAGGATTGAAGCGAGTTCTAGGCCAGCCTGGGCTACACAGTGAGTTCAAGGCCAGCCTGAATTACAGAGAGAACAAGACCTTGTCTTAAAAAAGAATAAGGAAAAGCCACTTTAGATACTGAATATGGAGAAGCTATCCTTTGGAAATTAAACATTTTGGGGGCCTATTTTCTAGCAACAGAGTTGGTATACGCTGGGAATAAACATAAACAAACTCATATGAAAATGAAGCTTCTATACATACAGAGTTCAAGTTTCTGAGAAAAAGTCCACCCTGAGATGAGAGGTAGGAGTGAAAGTGAACCATTTGGGGGAGTTACTACTGAGTCAATAAGGGAAGTATGGTACTACTGAAGTAGGGGAAAAACAAAGACTGAAAAAAGCCCTTAGAGAGAGGTCTAATTTTTCAGTTTTATGAGGCTAATGATGAGTAAGGGCTCAATGCACAGGATAGTATGGGTTTGGAACTCAAACAATTGAGCATACTGAAAATGCCTAAGGACAGAATGGGGTCAGAGGGTCTACAAGGCGTTTGGGGAGCGTTTGAAAAAGGGAACAGGCAAAAAAAAAAAAAAAAAAGCCAGGCATGGTGGTGTACGCCTGCAATCCCAGCACTTGGGAGGCTCAGACAGGAGGATCGCTGTGAGTCCCAGACCCGCCTGGGCTACATAGTGAGTTCCAGGTCAGTCTCAACTACACAGTGAGACCCTGTCTCAAAAAAAAGGGGGGGGGGCAGGGAGGGGCAGAATAAGACATGATGCTATGGTTTGGACTTTAAATGTCTCTCAAAGTCCACATGCTAAAGGCTTGGTACTTGTGGTACGAATGGAAGGTGGTAGAACCTTTAAGAGTTGGGTCCTAGTGCAAGTTAGGTCACTGGGGAGGAGTCCTGGAAGGAGATATTGGGAATCCAACCTCTTCCTGTATCTCTTTGCTTCCCAGTAGCCATGAGGCAACCAGTTTTGTTCTATTGCCATGCTGCTTCCCATGATGTGCTGTCTTGTCATAGGCCCAAATGCTATTGAGCCAGCCAATCATGAACTTAAACTTCTGAAATTATGAGCCCCAAAAAGCTTTTCTTCATTTTAAGATGTTTACCTCAGGTGTTTTTTCAGCGATGAAATTCTGACTAGCACAAATAGGTTTAAGAAATGCCTAGGGGCCTGGGATTTAGCTCAATGGTGCTGCGCCTGCTTGGAAAATAAGGCTCCATTAGGGTAGCCATGTGTTTAGCACAGAGTAAGAGATCAGCATTGCTCCCAAGAGTACTGAAAAAAAGGCTGGCTGAGGCCTGGTTTAAAGCAACCAGAGAATGGGTGTAGCACCACTTATAGTCATGCAAAGTGAGTGAGTGGAAAACTACAGAAGGTAGAATCTTAGGAAGCTATAATGTATGTGGCAGATCCAGAGAACTCCATGAGCTCCAGAACTTAGGACAGTGAATTATTTCATGCTGGTGCTCTGCACCTTTATATTAATAGTAGTCTGAAACTGACTAATCTTTTTTTTTGCTTGTTTTTTGAGAGAGTCTCACT